AATCCATTTTGACTTTAGTTTAATGCATGGTGATGGACCCAGTCTAGTTTCAGTTTTCAGCATGTAGAGAACCAGTTTTTCCAGTACCATTTGTTAAAGAGACTATCTTTCTTCTAGTGAACATGTTTGGCCCCTTTGTCGAAGATAAGGTGGATGAGTGTGTTTGTAGTTGAATCTGCATCTTCTAATCTATTCCACTGATTCTCAGGTCTACTTTTTTGCCAGTACCATTACTGATTTTATCACAGTAGCTTTGTAGTATAATTTCAAGTCAGGAATTGTAATGCCTCCTGCCTTCCCTTTGTTGCTTAGGATTGTCTTTGCCATTCTAGATCATTTCTGGTTTCAAATACATTTTAGAAATGATTTCTCTAGATCTGTGGGATATGTTAGTGGTATATAGATAGGGATTGCATATAGCCATTTTCACAATGTTAATTCTTCCTATGCAGGCGCAAGGAATATCTTTCTATTTTCTGAGATCCTCTTCAATCTCTTTCTTCAGAGTAATGTAATTTTCATTGAATAGATCTTTTACTTCTTTTATTAGATTAATTCCTAAGCATTTCATTTTTCATGGTGCTATTGTAAAGGGTATTATTTCTCTAATTTTTCTCGCAGTGTGTTTGTTATCTGTGTAGAGGAATACTATTGACTTTTAGGTATTGACTTTAAAACCTGCTATGCTACTGAATTTGTTTATTAATTCTAGGAGCTTCTCAGTGGAGTCTTTTGGATCTTTCAGGTAGAGTATCACATCATCTTCAAGTAATGATAGTTTAACTTCTTCACCTATTCTTATTCTTTTTATTTCTTTCTCTTGTCTAATGGCTCTAGCTAATGACTCCAGCACTGTATTGAATAGGAGTAGTGATAGAGGACATCCTTGTCTTGTACCAGATCTGAGAGCAAAACAGTTCAGTTTTTCCCTATTTAGAATTTTGTTAAGCCATTGAGTTGTCATAGATGGCTTTTATCGGATTGAGATAGAGGCCATCTATTCCAATTTTCTCTAGGGCTTTGATCATGAATGAGTGCTGGACTTTGCCAAAAGCCTTTTCTGTATCAGTTGAGATGATTGTGTGGTTTTTGGATTTGACTCTGTTGATATAGTGTATTACATTTATAGATTTGCATATGTTAAACCATCCTTGCACCCCTGGGATGAATCCTACCTGGTCATGGTGTATAATCTTCTTGATGATTTGCTGTAGTCTATGTGTTAGGATTTTAGTGACGATCTTTGCATCTATGTTCAGAGGGAGATTGGCTTGTAATTCTCTTTTTTAGTTGCATCTTTCTCTGGTTTTGGCATCAGTATAATACTTGCCTCCAGAAATGATTGTGGAAATATTGTTTCCTTTTCAATTTCACTGAAGAGTCTGAGGAGTGTTAGGATTATATTTTCTGTAAATGTTTTGTAGAATTCAGCTGTGAATCCATCAGGTCCTAGGATTTTCTTTGTCGGTAAGTTTTATATTACATTTTAAATTTTGTTGGCTGTTGTTGGGTTAGTGAGACTTTTTATGTCTTCTTGATTCAGTTTTGGTAATTTGTACCTTTTTGGGAATCTGTGCATTTCTTCTTGTCTTCAGTTCTGCTGGAGTAAAGATTTTTGAAATATCTATTGATGATCTTCTGAATTTCCATAAGGTCTATGTTAATTTCATCCTTTTCATTCCTTATTGTTTGATTTGATTTTTTTGTTTCCTCTTTTTGATGAGGTTAGCTAGGGGCTTATCAATTTTATTTAATCTTTCAAAGAATCAGAGTTTTGATTCATTAATTTTTTGTATGGTTTTCTTCATCTCATTTGCATTGATTTCTGCTCTAATCTTTATAATTTCCTCCCATCTTTGGGTTTTGGGTTTGGTTAGCTCTTCTTTTCCTAGACTTTTGAGTTGCAGCATTAGGGTATTTATTTGTCCCATTCTGTTTTCCTAATGTGTGAATTCACAGGTATAAATTTCTTTCTTTTTTTTCTAAGAAGATATTGCTTTACTTGGTTTATGCAAAGGCTGACAACACCACCATCTGTAGGTAGCCATAGCAGCTACACCAAAGTCATGGGACACTTGTACTATATAACAGCAAACTAGATCACACAGAATTGATCTGTAGAATTTATTACAGAATATGGTGTTGGGAAACAAAAGCAGACCACCTTAATGTGTCAAATTTGTGAACTTGTTAAATAAAAATTTTTGACCCACTCCACACAAAAAAGATAATAAAATCTACTCGGAAAATTGAGGCAATCACAAAGTGATAAGTTGGTGACTCTCTACCTTGCCTCATAGACACAAGAAAGGCACTGTCCCCAGTGAGCACACAGGCAGTTGCTGACAACCATGCAGCAATGCAGTGAATTTTCTACTATTTAGGGGAACATTGGGAAAACCAATAAATTCCTTGGGAATTATTTATTCATCCCTTCTAAGTAACTATTAATGAGATTAGTTTGGAAAGGTGATTTTTTTTTCTTTTTTTTTCAGTCTAGAAAGTCAGTGGAGTCCCATTGGCTATGGGATAATCAGAACTGATTAACTTACAATGGATATAAATTAGTAGGCTTGGAAATCAATCTTACTTTGAATTTGCGTGTGTTAATCAATGGCATGGACTTAAACAATAATCAGTTAAGAATTTCTGGAATGTACACCAATTCCAAGTGACCACATCATGGTCTTTCCTACTACAATGGCTCCTTGATTAAGATAAAAGGCATTAAAAGTGATTGCCATCTGTGAAATAGACTTTAGTGTCCCTACGCCCAAAGGAAGATCTTGTTAAGTCAAATTCACGGAATCAAATAAATGTTACTAATGACAGTGTAAACTTCATGGAGGACACAAAATCTACTCATAACACTGGAAGCCCAAAAAAGCAGAATCATATCAGAAGAACCATTTTCCCAACAGTCCCACAGCCATGTATGATGTTTTCATGAGTCTGGGCAACCTTCTCTAGTGGATACTGAGAAACTATCACAGGCTTCAACCAACTAATCTCCATTCCTGTTTGAAGAACTGATGCAAACTGCTTAAATTCCTCCTCGGCTGAATTGGAGCAACTCCAATTATAGAAGTCTCCTTTGCCATGGTATCCCATGGGTTTATTTCAATTGAGCCTCTGCAACCAACAACTATTACTCGTCCTCCATATGACAGAAGTTTTAAATCATTATTAAGGTTTACATTAGACAACATCTCAATAATCACATCAATTCCTTTTTCACAGACAGATTTCTGGATTTTATTAATATAATCAGCTTCTTTGTGATCAAACACTTCACGGGCTCCATTTTGCAAAACGATCTTTCATCCTTCCTCACTACCAGCTGTGCCCAAAACCTTTAAGTCATAAGCTCTAGCAATTTGGCATGTTGCTAGTCTAACTCCTCTGCTGGCTCCATGAACCAGAATTCTCTCTCCAGCTTTCACATGGGCACTATGGAGCACAGCACGGTAGGCAGTGAAGTACGGGATACTGATGGTGGTGCCCTGCCTGAAGTCCAGCTTCTCAAGCAGTGCATACACAGTGTAGTCTTCAGCAAGAGTGTACTCTGCATAGTCCCTCAAGATAGTGTTGTTAGTGAAGACTTGGTCACCTTTCTTGAAACAGACACATTATTCCCAATGGATTCTATAACCCTCGCCACATCCGTGCCAGGGGTATAAGGTAAAAGTGGTTTTCTAATATAAGTACTAGTGTGAATATATGTCTCCACGGGGTTGACACCACATGCGTGGACTTTGATTAGAACCTGATGTTCTTTGGGAACTGGCACTACAACATCCGACTGGAGTTTCAGCACTTCAGGTCCACCATATTCAAAAACTCTAACAACTCTCATCAACTTCTGTCCAGTCATCATGGTGATGTAGACACTGGCTCCAGAGCAGGGATCAAAACCTATAAATTTCCCTCTGAGAACTGCTTTCATTGCACCCCATAAATTCTGATAAATTATGCTTGAACTTTCATTGAATTGTAGATATTGTTTAATTTCTTATTTAACTTCATCTTTAAACCATTGGTTGGTGAAGAGGGTGTTGTTTAATTTCCATGCATTTATGGGTTTTTTCTGATTTCTTTTTGCTATTTATTTCCAGCTTCATTCCACTGTGGTCAAATAATATGCATGGGATCTGCTTTCGTGCATATACTTAAGCATGACCTATGGACTAATATGTGGTCTATTTTAGAAAACATCCATTTTGCAGCTGAAAAGAATGTATATTGAGCTGTAGTTGTGTGGAACACTCTGTATATGTCCACGAAATCCACTTGTTCAAACATCTGGCTCATTTCCTGTACTTCTTTGCGAATTTTGTGTCTGTTTGACCCATCTATCTTTTTGGGGCATATGGCGGTGTTAAGGTGTCCTGTTAAGATCATCGTGTTGGATATTAGATTTTTCATGTCCATTGAGATTTGTCTTATACAGTTGGGTGCTCCCACGTTTGGTGTGTACATATTTATGACTGTTATCTCTTACTCTTGTGTTTTTCCCCTAACCATTATGTGGTGACCTTCTTTATTTTATTTGATCATTCTTGGTTTGAACTTGACTGTCTCCAAACAGGATTGCTACCCCTGCTTTTTTCTGAGGTGCTGGGGCATGTAGTATTGTTTTACATCTTTTGACTTTTAACTTATGAGTTTCTTCATGAGTTAAGTGTGTTTCTTGTATACAGCATATTGATGGATTTTGCTTCCTAATCCACCATGCCAGTCTATTTCTTTTAATTGGTGAATTTAGTCCATTTACATTGATGATTATAATCGAGATTTATTGACTTATGATTGACATGTTATTTACCTGCTCTTGTATACCTCTTTTACTCCTATGTTTAATTGTTTGCCATATTTGGTAGGTTCCTTCCATTCTCTCTCTCTCTTTTTTTTTCTAGTCAAGGGAGGAAAACTTTATTCAGGCCCCAAGGCTGCAGGCATTGGGCAGGTGGTGCCCTTCTGGATGAGGGGCTGGTTGAGCTTTACTTGACCTTCTTCTTGGGGCGCAGGTTGTTGGTGTGGCCACATTTCTTCTTGTGGCAGTTGACAGCACAGGGGTGCAGGTGGGCATAACACTTGCGGCAGATCATCTTGTCACAGTTGTACTTCTGGGCAAGCTGGCACAGGGACGGCTCAATGATCCCATCTCGTAGGTGAAGCACTAGGTGCAGGGTGGACTCTTTTTTGATGTAGTCAGAGAGGGTCCAACAGTTCTCCAGTTTTTTGCCGGCAAATATCAGATGTTGCTGGTCAGGTGGGATGCCCTCTTTGTCTTGGATTTTGGCTTTGACATTCTTGATGGTGTCACTGGGCTCAACCTTGAGGGTGATGGTCTTCACAAAGATCTGCATCTCTTCATCTGCTGCTCGGCTGCCTCACTGAAGAGAAAAATTTCCATTCTTATTCATGCAGCTGTGGTCATTTTGATCCCTCTCTGGAAGAGTTTTTAGTAGTCTGTGTAGGACTGGCTTTGTCATCATGAAATTCTTTAGTTGTTCTTTGACATGGAAGTATTTCATTTCTCCATTAAACTTCAAAGAGAGTTTTGCAGGGTGTATCAGTCTGGGTTGGAAATTGTTTTCTTGCAAGACTTGTAGTCCTTTGCTTCATGTTCTTCTTGACGATGGTTTGTGAAGAGAAATCTGCCATTATTCTGATGGGTTTTCCTTTAAATGTGATCTGTTTCTTTTCTCTTGTGGCTTTTAGTATATTGTTCTTTTGCTCAATTCCTGGGATCTTGATTATTATATGTCCGGGTGTAGTTTTAATTAGGTTGATGTTATTTGGAGTTCTATATGCTTTGGTTACTGAATGTCAGATTGTGTCCCCATATTTGGGAAGTTTTCTGCTATTATTTCTGCCCATTTTTTTTATATCATTTGTATTGAATCTTTCTTTCTCATTGATGCCTATTAGTTTCATGCTGTTCATCTTTGCATC